GTGAGTAGCCTTATTCGGTAACACTAAAATGAAGTTATTTGTACGTGTCGGGGAGTGTGTGCGTGTGTATGTGTAACGCCGCCAGGCTGTCTACAGTGCAATACAACGCGCACGATGTCATTGTAGCCGAGGAAACCGATGATTTCCCTACCAATTTCCATAGGGTAGGGGTAGGGCACAACTATTATAAAATGGGCCGCCGCGACACATGGCCACACTATCGAATCGTTCATAAAATACTACACAACTACTACCCATTCACACACTTGCACTCACACACAGGCACCCCGTTTCCATTGGATACACATACAAATGCACGGGCACGCACTGCAATGCCTTTTCGAACAGAAAATAAATGAAATTCTTCAAGTTCACACACACAAACACACATTCTTACGCACATTACATTCTAAACTTATTTGGCGAAGCGTTTACCACGTTTAAATTACACACCAGTTGGCAATTTCTGCTTCTTTTCGATTAAATATACATTTTCAATGCTTTAGCAATCGTCAAAAATCGAAATATTTATATTAAAACAACAACAAAATATAAAACGAAACGAAATAAATCTATTTATAAAAGCGCTTAAAAACACATACACACACACACACACACGCATGAAATTATTGTGTGTTGGGGCTGTCGGTTTGACAGTGAAATGAGTAGAGTGAGCGGGAAATGGGGAGCGGGGAATAAGGGACGGCAGTAGTAAAAACGCCGCTGAGCGTATACGAGCGAATAAGATAGCACTATTGGCGACACAGTCACCACACACACAACCGAGCGGGACACAAACGTTCACTCACATAGGCAAACAGGCAACGTACGAATTACGCAAAGTCAAAAAAAATATCTTTCTCAAAATGGAAAGTGGAAAAGTGACGATTGCTATTGTGAATTTTTCTACCTCCTCCTGATCCCCGCACAAACCATATCGCGGACACGACTAAAATAGGAGCGGGAGCAAAATATAATTACAACGCAAAGCAGATATCACGAGCAATCGAGGTCGCGAGGGGAAGAGAAAAAACAATATTAAATATTTGCCTGTTTTTTACACTATGAAAGTTTTACGAGCAGATTAATTTACACGGCAATATTTACTTTAGAACTGTGATTTTCTTCAGCACAGCCACACAAAATGCGGGTATATTTTATAAAATTTGCGAAATTAAAGCCTCGGACGGGCAGCGGGCTGGTCTGCGCCTGAAAATGAATTGTGTGTGTGTGTGTGTCTTCCAACACACTTCGTCAAGTGTTTGCCTTGATATTAATCGATTTTGGTATTCGGCTTACGATTATAAGAAAGCAATCTCCCGCGGCACTGAATATATACTTTTCTACGATAAATTAATCAATTTCCTAACATATTTGCTGCCTTTAAGTACTAGTCTTGGTTGTTTATTCAAAAAATATGGTTTAATCAAAAACGGTTTCATCAAACATTCAGACAATTTACATTTTTACAAGGTAACATACAGGGTAACTACAAACTTGATACATATTAACTACGTATTTGTGTAGTTAGCATCAGAGACACCTGACGAAGAAATGTCTACGTTTTAAAACAAGTTTCGCCTTATTTTTGTATACATCGCTATTGGAAGCGGCAGTTTGAAAAACCTCTAGTCTACCTCATTCTTTGCATTATCATCAAAGTCCCACGATAATGCTGGTGCTGATCACGATTTAACTGTCATCTCTATACATTTTCTACATTGCCGCATTCAACAAGAGGGTGACGCATACGTCTTTAAAAATACTGGAAATAAAAAAATACTTTAAAATCTTACATTTCCAGGAGGAACCACAGTTCATTACATGCATGAACAAAAGAGTCTACATGATTTCTACATGAAATTTGTGGTATTTTTTTAGCTTATCGATACTATCATAAAATTTGCAAGGTGGGTGAAAACTAAAAATAAAAGTAGTACTGTGTACATTATTGACATTCAATTATAACGTAAATTTAATTACATTTATTTAAAGCTGATTGTATTAGTTTTATTTCGGACACCATCTAGCTGTTATAATCATCGCCCTTGTGGCCAGTCAACTTATCGATAGAACAGTACATCTCTAGTATATACATTTTGAGTGAAAATTTCTTCTCTGGTCTGTGAAAATTTCTTAATACAATTTCGCATGCCATTAATTTGCAGTTGTGCCCAAACGATTTGTTATTTGAAAGCAATGTCACCGCACCGCTGATGCCACTCGTGTCAGGTAGTGCCTGCAGCGGTTCCCCGCACCTTTTATTCTATAAACAAATTGAAATCTCAGGCCGCAAATTGTCGCGTCGCATTACATTCAGTGTTGCCAACTCGGTGAATGTTCAGCTGCATAGCGAACATTTTCGGCAAATTGCAAGAAGTGGAGTGGCTTGGAGTGCATCCTCATGATCGTAAAATACGCAAAAAACTAATATACAAATATATTTTGCAGCTAACCGTCTTGGCCCGCTGCAAATTGAGCGAATTGTTGGACATTCAAGCAACAAATTCTAGCCGGACAAAGGCTGAACTGGCAACACTGCAGTCGCCAGAGCCGCCGCCGACACACTACTCGGGCAAAATGAAGTGAGAAAAATGCAACTTAAGTCACAAACTACAACAGAAAACTCTTCAAATGCATTGAATTTCATATTAATTGTTATTTTTATTTCATGTTTCTGGCAGTAAACCAAAGTGCACGTTGGCTTTTTGTTAATTTTTCGCAATTTTTGATTCGTGTCGTCATCTTGCCATCGCCATCGTCATCATCATTGCCATTGTCAACTGTCGCCCACCAACACCACCCGCTCAGGCTCAGACCCTCCCACCATCTTCGACAGTCTTGTGGGGGAACACCGACAAACACCATTTGGCAGAGCATTGATTGAGCCCCGCATAAACACCTGAAGCATCATCTCCTCTCTCTCTCTTAGTCGTTGTCATATTTCAATATAAACTGTTCAGGTAAGTTGAAGCGCGAGTTCAGCTCCAGACCAGGCCAAGCCACACAGACCCATTTATGCTGCTCTTTCAGTTATGTCATCGACGGCCGGTAAACGCAAGGAGATCTACAAATATCTCGCACCATGGCCCCTCTACTCCATGAACTGGAGCGTGCGGCCGGACAAGCGTTTCCGCCTGGCCCTGGGCAGCTTCATTGAGGAATACAACAATAAAGTGCAAATCATTAGCTTGGACGAGGACACCAGCGAATTTAGTGCTAAAAGGTTGGCTTACGACTTTTATCTCTCTGCGTTGCACAATTAATTAATAATCTCAAATTGTGTATTCAGCACCTTTGATCATCCATATCCGACGACAAAAATCATGTGGATACCGGACTCGAAAGGCGTTTATCCCGATTTGCTGGCCACTAGCGGTGATTACTTGCGCGTGTGGCGTGCCGGGGAGCCGGACACACGACTTGAGTGCGTTCTGAATAACAACAAGAACAGCGACTTTTGTGCACCGCTGACATCGTTTGACTGGAACGAAGTGGATCCCAATTTGGTGGGCACCTCATCGATAGACACAACATGCACCATTTGGGGCCTAGAGACGGGACAGCCGCACGCACGCGTCTATGTGGCGGGACATGTGAAGACACAGCTTATAGCACACGACAAGGAGGTCTATGACATTGCATTCTCACGTGCCGGCGGTGGTCGGGACATGTTCGCATCCGTGGGTGCCGATGGATCGGTGCGCATGTTCGATCTGAGGCATCTAGAGCATTCGACCATTATTTATGAGGTATGTGGCAGGAGTTGAGTGCGCCTTGGATCGAATTGAATGCCCAAGTTCTTTGCTCTCTTGCAGGATCCTGCCCACACGGCGCTGCTGCGTCTCGCTTGGAACAAACAGGATCCGAATTACTTAGCCACAGTTGCTATGGACTCGTGCGAAGTTATTATTTTAGATGTTCGTGTTCCTTGTACACCCGTTGCAAGACTGAGCAATCACAGAGCGTGCGTCAACGGTATTGCGTGGGCGCCGCATAGGTAAAACACTTTCGCCCTTAACTCACCCCTAGCTGTGCTTGCCACTAATCTGAGTTAATGCTTTTCTTTTGCAGTTCCTGTCACATCTGCACTGCCGGTGATGATCACCAAGCACTGATCTGGGATATACAACAAATGCCACGCGCAATCGAGGATCCAATTTTAGCCTATACAGCTGCCGAGGGCGAAGTCAATCAGATACAATGGGGCGCCACACAGCCCGATTGGATAGCCATTTGCTACAACAAAGCGTGCGAGATCCTCCGAGTCTAAGAGTCAATTTTTGTCCTCGCCCGCCTCCCCTCCCCTGCCTACCTGCCTCCTGGCTGTGTGGGCTCTGAAAGCACTTGGATGTTAATTGCTAAAAAATAACGCACAGTCGAATCACACCCAAACACAAGACACACACACAGACACACGGACACACTTGCTGTTGGTATTTCGAAGTGAAGGCTGCGGAAGAGCGGATTTATGTTCGATCGTTTAATCGCATCCCCCGACACTTTTTTTTTCGTCTGCGTAGAAAGAAAGCGAACGAGAGCGAGCGAGTGAGTGAGTACAAGAGGGATAGAGAGAGAGAGAGAGAGAGAGAGCGAGACGGACGAGCAAGTGGATTAGAAAAGTGAAGAGAAGGATGGAAGGATGCGGCTGAGGTGGAGCGTTGCGCTCTGATTGAACGATTTATGAATGTATTTTAAGATTATCTTAGCTTAGTTGATTGTACGAGAATATAACGCAAGTCGGGAATCTATAAGGTATAACCAAAATATGTATTTCTAACTGTAGTTTATTTAACACACCCCCCCCCCCCCAAGACCCCACTTGAACACTCTGCTTATTATGATTATTATCCGCTGATTATTTCATAATCAAGCAAAGATCTGAAAGAAAGAAACAAAACAAAACAAACAATGTCCTACCTCGTTTTTCCCCAAAACAAAAACAGAATGTGTCTGGCCACAGCAACACACTCACACACACACACACACACACACACACACACACATTAAAGAGGATAAAAAAGCTTTTTCGAAATATTTTTACTTTATTCATTTTTTGTTTGTTCTGTTCTTTTTTTTTGTACGAATTCTATGAGAACCAAAAACAAAACAAAAACAGCAAAAGCAAAAACCATGGACTTAAGCAAATGCAAAAACAAAATAGAAAGAGTGGAGAGGAGAGGAGAAGAAATTAAATAAGCGAAAAGATACTTACATATAAATATATATTAGCGTATAAAGCAGAGAAAACAGAAATCAGAAAAAATCGAGAAAATAAAACCAACTGCACACGACACACACACACACCAAAACACCACACAGCTAGCATACAACAACAAATACTATCTAAAATAACAAACTAAAGCAAACGCAAATACAAAACAAAAGCAAAACAAAAGCAAAACAAAACAAAAAACCGAAATATATGAGCGAGAGAGAATACAAGATTGTTGCTAAAAATCCATTTACCAAGCGAAAGAAAACAAAAAACATAGGCAAAAGCAAAAACACAAAGAGAAACCAAACTACAAGCGAAATATGATAATTTCAAGAGTAAAGCGTTAAGACAGAATTTTTCAACCAGCCCTCGCCATAGTCCTATCACAAAAACAAAAAAAACAAATAAAACTCACCACACTCTGCACCGCACACGACTGACCCGCAAAAGCAACGAGCGGGAGAGCTGCAAAGCAACGAGAGAGAATGAGGAATGAGCACTCGCTGCAAGGACACTCTCTCTCGCTGCCTCAGCGGACACTGTACTGAATTGCGGGGCACACTCCATTTTGCACTCTCAGAACAACCACCCCCCACCCCCTCCCACGAGACTCTCTCCTGCGTGTACTTCTCCAAACAAAAATCGAATGACTTTTTTTACTGCAACTTGTAATTTATAGCGATTTCACACAACTTATCTATATACACATAGATATACTTGCATATATATATAATTATACAGATATGTATGTACGTGCGACGCGGATGATATACCAAAAGATAACGTGTAATCCGATGATCATCCGATGTATTGTAAATACAATATGGAACCACTCTTTTTAAACAAAACGAAAAACCAACAATCAGAGCCAGTAAACAAAATAAGAACACAATTTTGAGCAAGACTTAGCGCATGATTTTTTATAGACATGTAAGAGGCCTGCCCTCCCCCCCGTGCACCCACACGCTCTTCGCAATAAAAACAAAAATCAGCATACAACAAACGAAAATAGGAGAAAACTTCTAATCGGATTGAATCATTTTTGATACTTTGTACGAAAAAAAAAAACAAAAAACATCTTCATTAAATTTTGCAAAATGGTTTCCAAGAAAAAAAGCCCCAGGATCAGATCGGAAAAGATATATACAGACGATATATAATCGTAAATGCATGACATTCAATTAATTTCGCTGCGTTTGTTATAATTATTTCATGAATGTAATAATCCAAATATTTGCATGCACACACACACACACAACACACACACATAACATCGTATATATATAGAGGATAGAAGGAGACAGACAGAGGCTGGTAATTGAACCAAGCGCACTAGGAGAAGGATGTAGGATTGTGGTGGTAGTAGAACCAACCGGACGGACGGACGGACGGACGCACAGACAGACGGACGCTGATTGATGATTGAACGCAAGCGAGCAGCTAAGAGGAAACAGAAGGTATGAGATGTACGTTGGGGCGAAACAAAAATAAAAAAAAAAGAAACAAACCAAAACATACAAATATTTAAATAAACCATTTTTAAATAACGAAAATTGCGTTCTATTAATCAAATCCGATGGAGCATTTGGTGGATCTCCTTTTTGAGCTCAGTTCTCAGGCACTGCCTCAACTGGAACTGCGCGCCACAAATCCACCATGGAGGTGGGCAATGGCCAATTTGCGATTGAACTTATCGTTTGCTACACGCCGCATATGCAATCACATATCGATTGCTGTCTCTTAACACACAGAAAACGGAACACAACAAACGCCAGGAGCGCCTGCAGGCGGCAGTGTAAACACGATCTACAGACAGTCCTGCCATTGAAATGCGCTCCCAAAATGGATTTGGTTTACTTTTCACGCGGAAAACTGAACTGGAAAATAGGCAAAGTATTTGCCTATGGCAACGGTTCAATGTGGGTTGAAGAACCTGCTTGTACCCCGCATACATTATGTAGAAATGTTTCTTATCCGCCTCGTGCGCTGCCCTTTTGCTGTGCAAATCCGCACCTGGCCGTGCGAGAGAAATCCAATCAGCTGAATTAGAATTAAGTAGTTTTGACTAACAAATGAAGTGCGACGTTTTAGTGTGCCGCGCAAGCCGTCGTCGAGTCATTGAACAAAGAGCAGACACTGCGACCAGACAGACCGTAATCAGACCACACAGCTGACATGGGCATCCATGCTGATAAGGATATGGATATTTTGCGTCCACTTAGCGATAACGAAATCGACGAGCTGCTCGCTCTCTACGAGCGCAAGTATGGGCCACAGAATTTTCACTATTTGCTGCTCTACAATCAACGCAAGTGGGATGGACAGCTGGCAGCGGCGGGCATAGCCCGAGACGATCCCGCATACATTTCGCTGCGGAAACAATTCTATACGCATCGGCAGGGCGACTTTCGTCGCTTCGGGACCTACGTGAGCCTCCATCAAGACATTGTGCAGAGCGTCTCCTTCTTTAGTTGGCAGCCGGAGGGCGCTCGAGAGCTCTGGGAGTGCCTGGAGCAAACGAGACTCATCGAATGGACACGCGGTGCACTGCTCACCAATGTGGATCCTGTCTTTTGTGAGCGTGTCAAGTCGCTGGCCGCACAGCGAGGCGCTCACACGGTCCAGGCCCGTCAATGCTACGGCATGCTGCTGCCCCATACCGAAGCTGCCAAGGCTGAGGTGCCCGAGCTGCTGTCGGAGTTTGAGCTGCGTCCGTTGACGGATGAGGACGCCGCCATGGTGCACGGCATTTGGCCGAACAAGGGAGAGGGCTCCCTGGCCTACCTGCGCGCCCTCATCAAGTTCAACAAGACGCTTGGCGCCTGTCGCAGCGACACGGGCGAGCTGATTGCCTGGATCTTCCAGAATGATTTCTCTGGCTTGGGGTAAGTCCAACACCAACACCAACACCAAGCCGTGTCTGGCTGATCTGCAGCGACTTCTGTTCGCTCGTTTCAGCATGCTGCAGGTCCTGCCAAAGGCGGAGCGACGCGGCCTCGGTGGTCTTCTGGCCGCTGCCATGACCAGAAGGATAGCCAGAGGCGAGCAAGTGGCGCTCACCGCCTGGATTGTGACCTCCAATTGGCGCTCCGAGGCCTTACTCAAGCGCATTGGCTACCAGCCGGACATTATTAACGAGTGGATCAAGCTGGAGCCAGTTGTGTGACGAGTGTCCCTCCAAGGGCCAAGGGTCGTGCGTTGCGGTGCGGTGAGGTACGGTCCGGTCCGGTTCGGTTCGGTTCCAATGAGGACAATGAGTTTGATTTGCATTTTCTATGCCTATGTACAAGGTTAACATTTTATTGTGGCACACACACGCTTTCTGAATACACTTGACGGCTTCATCAAATTCCAAAAGGAAACAAAAGAGCGGGGAGGGAAGGGGTGTGTGGTGTGGTGTGTGGGGGCAAAGCCTCAAGCTACTTATGTACAAAAACACACACGAAAAAGAACGCATTCAAAAGAGGTTATCAAAAATACAATTTACATCAGGGTCAAGGGATCATGGCCCGTGGGCAACCCCACGCATTGTCAGAGAGCTATTGCGGAGAGAGTGGGGTGTTGGGGGGAGGGTATAAATTCTCTAACTAATAACTAAACAAAGAGCAAGCGTGTAGCCGTCCCACTGGGCATGCCACTGCCATTGGCCAGCAGGCTGTTGCCGGGCTTGTGCAGTCCATTTGTCATTTTGCCATTCATGGCACCGCGATAGTACGGATCGGTTTGCTGCTGCAGCGGCGTATACTTAATGTTATTGCTTTGCGTTAGCGGCAACGTTGGCGGCTCCCTGGACTTTGTGATTTGCTTGGCACGATTGTAGCACAGCACACCGACAATGGCCAGCGTCATGCCCAGGCAATTGATCCACGTTACGGGATTGCCCAGTATTATCAGCGAGACGGCAATAACGAATATACGCTTCGAGGCACTCGCTACAGCATACGTCAGCGGTGTGACGAGTGACAATACGCTGAAGGCAATGATGTTCTGCAGCCAATTGAGCACGCCGTCGGCAAAGAGCAGCGCTATTACACGATAGTCCATATTCTTCTGCAAAAAAGAAAAGAGATGTGGAAGCTGCTAGTTGTTCTACTTTACTTGATTGAAGTGTCTCTCCAGGTAGAGGGCACTTCAATTAAGATAAGCGATAAGATCTCCCGATCGGAGCAACAATACTAACAATTGCCGAATGGCGGAAGACAGCTAAGCTGTCCATGTACAACCAAATGGGCAGGAAAATGAGCAGCGACAGCTTGCCCAGCAGATGCAGCAGTCGCAGATGATGAATGTTTGTGTCCTTCAGCACCTGCAAAGAGTGAGAAAGTTAGATAGATAAGGAAAGGACAGTAAGAAAGGACATTTCAGGACTTACCTTCTTGGAGAATATGTTCTGCATGGAGAAGCCCATGGTCGAGATGAGGGCACTGATCAGGCCCAGCATATCGAATGAGATTTCCGTAACGGTGGCAATGCCAACGCCGGTGATAATGGGCAACAGGCTCAGGTACACAAGCGTCGGCTGCTTCTCGTTGAAGAAAACGCGCGTCAGCACAACGGTAAAGAGCGGCATCGTCGCCTTGACTGATGGGAGAGCGTACGATGAGCGGTGCGGTGCGGTGCGGTGCGGTGTGTGCGTGCGAGAGAGAGTAAAGTAAAAGTTTGGCGCCAGTGTTGCTGACGTGTTGAGCGGCGGAGTTACGTTGAATGCGCGTGGATTGTGGGGCTACTCACCAGTGTGTGCATAGGAGACGGGCACCTTCCACAGCGATATGTGTGAGGTGACCGAGGCGAGGAGCTTGCCAATGGCCAGCGGTACGATCAGGCGCCAGTAGTAGGGGCGCGGTATCTCCTGGTACTTTCGTATGCGCCACAGATTGAAGAAGGGACCGCTGTAGAGCGTGATGCTGCACAGTTGGACCAGGGTGACGGTCATGGGGAAGGGGAACTCGTTGAGCACCATTTTCCCAATCACATTGTTGCTGGACGAGATGATGTACCAGAACAGGCACATCAGCAGCACAACAGCAACGTGACGGGAGCTTGTCCGCTTGCCGCCCAACATTTTGGGCGTCCGGATCGGTTTTGGCTGTCGCTGGACCTTTTCAGCTCTTGCTGCAAATACACGAACGAGTCGCCTGTTGCCGGACACTTAATAGCCGGCAGGTGGGGATTTGTTGCAGATTTCGGCACTTGGATTATTGCATTGCGATACTTGGTTTTGTTTAAAACCAGCAAACCAATTTAACCCAATAGAAAACGTCGTCTGTTTGTTTTCTACGTGTACCCGTCAGTGTGACCAGATACCCTACAACTATGGCTGCTGAAACCATCGACTGCTGCGACGGTTGTCAAGTTATCGATAGTTTTTCGACCATCTATGTGTCGTGTCAAATAAATGGTGAGATTTTCAAAGTCTGGAAAATGAATAAAACGCAGGATGTGGAACAACAACAAAATCAAAGACAAAAAACTATTATATGTACCAATTTTGCTGAGGAGAATTTATGATATTTTTTTGGTTGACAAACCAATCACAACCGCATAACCAACCAACTGTTCGGAAATCTCGAACAAATGCCAAAACAAACGATACTTCAAACAAAATATAAAGGACTTTACTCTACATCTAACGGACAATCATCTCTTCGACACAGACGTGGACCAGTTTGAGGTGACCTCGGGCATACTCTACTTGAGATCCGACTCAAAACAACTACGAATCTCCTTTCCCTATTAATCCTATGTTACATTAATATATAACGAATTTGCGAAATCGAAGGGAACTTTCATCTGCGGCTTAGATCACTTTTCAATTAGAATTATGTATCACTTAGGTTTTGTTCCGATTGTAAGCAATTAAAAGAAAACTTATAAACTGCTAATAATACTCTTCTTTTCCTAACCATTCATCCCATTAGTTCAGGCATGCTTCTCTCTGCAAGAGTATTTACCCCTTCCCATTTATTCAAACATAAACAGAACGCAAGAGCGATCATTTTTTCGTGAGAGCCGGAACTAATTTTGAATTTTTGATTGGTTGAAAGTAAAAAGTCGGGAAAAAGTATTAAAAGTATTTATTTTCGATATTGAATTTCAAAGTACATGGCGGGAAATACGTACTTGATTTAAAGAAATACAGTTGAGAGGGAAAACAATAATTAAATTGAAAAATAATTTTAAAATTGAATTTTATTTATTTGTTTTATTATTTATTTATTATTTATTTATTATTTATTTATTGTAAAGCACACTAATTCCATAATAAATACTGGACAGCCGTTCGTCCTTGCATAGAGGCACTAGGCGAGTGTTTTTCATACATGATTTCGGGCATTTTCGATGTCCTACGTATGGCTTTTCAATAAGATAGCAAGCCGTATGTTGTTGCTTGCGTTCCTGCCGCAATGACCGAAGTGTTCTGGGCACCCTGCCGCCTCTTCGAATCCCTGAGGGAGTTTGACATATCTTTTGAAGAAAGACGGTTGTCGGTTTTCTTTGACAGAGTCGGAGTCCGCCAAGCAAGAAGATCCTTGCTGGCATGTGTGTCTGTGCAGCCCGTCCTCAAGGTGTGGTTGGGTTTTGGCAATATATTCGAGCCTCTCTTCGATTTCCGTTGTCACCTTCTCCGGCACCGTTTATCGCTTTGCCCCATTAACTATCGCCCGGCCACCTAAAAACAAAACCTCTACATACATTATTTTGCCAATCGATTTCCTTCGACTGCAATATAGAACATCAAAACATTTTTAGCTGAGAAGGTATATTTGGGTATATTTTTGAGGGTTTTACGGTATATTTTATCGATAATTTCGCTGTCACACTGATGATTTGACAAAAATCAATAGCTTCCAAAAATATATTTTTTAATTTAATCGCTACAGCGAAATTCGTACAAATGTAACAAAAAATTGTTAACTCAAAAAATAGTTGTTTGCCGCACAAACACTAACAATCGTCGAAAAATATATCAAAAAATTTCACTCTATCAGTATCAGGCTGTCAGTAAAAGAATGAATCGTTCACGCCAAGCAACCACTGCTATGAAGAAATCATTTGTTTCCGGAGGAGTCTATGTAAGTTTGCCTAAATATTAAATTTATAGCATCGTATGCTCCGGTTCAGCGGTGGGCAGGCACATATGTACAAAGGCGACTGCAAAAACGCCACTTGGATTGTTGTGAAAGCGAAATACCGTTTGTGACTTGCTCATGGGCCTATTTTTTCTGTTCTTGGACTGACTTCTGATCCCAAACAGCGTGCCCACCGCTGCTCCCGGCTTATAAGCGTGGTGGCAGCATGAAACTTGCATACATCCATATTTTTGTACATATGTATGTCCTTACGCACTCAAACCAACAATTGGCAGTCGTTTAAAGAGGGCAGCATCTTTCAAACAAACGGAATATGTATGCGTACATACATCTGTTCATACATACATATGCATATATTTCTTGTATAAATACGGTAGAAAAGGTCTGTTTAAACGGGACAGCAGCACCCAGGCAACAACATGAAATACAATACATACATATGTACATACATACATACATCAAATCAGTGCAAAATAAAAATCTCGTTCTGCGGCTGGAAACAGCTGAATTGGCAAACCCGTCGCAAACTAAATAATAAACAGATTAGAAGATGCTGCATCATTTCATTTGAGAGGTACAGAAAAAAGCCCATGTCTGCAGACAGTAGAACGCGAGGGTAGGAAAGTATGCATTAAAAATGCATGTATGTTTGTACATACATAATCGTAAAAGTGACACTCGTGGTAAACAAGCGGTAAAACCAAAACACAAAAAACTACTCCAATATCCATTAAATAGATAAATACATACACATGCACATGTTTATACACACACACACAAAACATACACACATATAAATAATTCCGTTGAATTCCTTTTAAGAAAAACTGAAGCAAACATATACTGTAATAACCGTATTTCTGTTTTTTATTTATATAATTTTCAGCGCACAATATGAAAAATATGTGTGTTCAGCCCCCAATTGTGATTTTATTTGCAATAGCCATAAAAGCGTGTTAATCGAAAGTGCAGACACCTGGTATCCGAGTTGTATCCAGCATCCCATTCGTTCCCTATCAGCTGATGCTCGGGTGCTTAGAGAATACATACATACATACATACATACATACATACATATGTATGTGTACAGAAACTGGCCAGCAATTACGAGTTAGAATTAAGCTGGACTTGCGGTTTTCGCAGACTTTTATGGCTACTGAAAATTCAATCACACGAAATTGTAACTTAAAATTATTAGTTTTGCGCTAGATAGCAATGCTCATTTACTCCACTGATGGCACCCAAAACGAAACACGAAACACCAGTAGCCAAGGGGCCAGGAATGAGCCAACATGGCGGTCGGTCACACCGAACGCCAGCGTTGGGGTCCATTGGTTTTGGTTGGTCACACCCTTTCGCTGAGGCAGAGTCTCGTTTTGGGTCAGTTTGGTTGCAGGAATGGTCATGGCTAATTCCTGAACTATGGTTTTTAGTAGGACCGAGCTCCCGTGAGCCTCCCGCAAGCCACCCACTTCTGATGTAGTAGATCGATTGATTGACTGGCATGTAAGATGATTTTTTGATTGGTAAAAGTTTTTTTTTTATGCTCAGGATCAGGCACTCACTGGATATGTATCTACTCTACTCGTTCTTAGAAGAACAAAACCACAAAACAAAAGAAAATCAACAAATCAGCTACCCATTGTTGTATCGTATTGATGATTAATGAACTTTTTTCCTAATTTAGAATCCGAATGCCACGGATAAAAAACCCTTGATTCAACCGCCAGAAAACATTCTGGTGGAAGCGCCAGTCGTGCCGGCGCCAGCTCCGACTCCAGTGCCGGCTCCAGCTCCGACTCCAGTGCCGGCTCCAGTGCAGATGAAGGCACTGCCAGCAGTTGGTGGCCTGCCACATCCAATATTGGTCAAGGAAGAACCCGAGGCGATGATCGAGGACGAGTCGTCGGCCGTCGAGAGCGGCGAAGGCTTTTACATTGACATAAGCAACGAGAATGGCAATGCGGGAAAGATACCCTTCAAGAAGATATTCCAGAAGCGCAAGAAGTCATCGGGTAAGCATCCAGAATCACAGATACCCAAACCTTTTGCCATATTCTAAAGCTCTTTTCATTTCTCAGAACGCACTCGCGACAAGAAGCAGCGTCAGAATCGACAGCTACGCAAGTCGATGTTGCCGAAAAATGCCTTGATGGCACTCAACGAACTCAAGGGCATTAATATCAGTGACTTTACCATCAATAGCAATCCTGATTTCGGATTCACAGCCATAGTCACGGTCAATTCGATCCAGTACCAGGGCAAGGGGCTGTCCAAGATGTCAGCCAAAAATATGGCCTGTGAGCATGCTCTGCGTGATTACATCATAGCCAAAATGAAGCCAAAGCCGCGCAAGCCAAAGACTAGCGTTGAGGAGACACAGCCATCGACTGCCCCCGAACCCATGGACACCAATGGCAGCGACACTGAATCACCCGAAGATGAATTGCCCATGCTCAATTTGGCATCGTTTGCCATTTATAAATTGTTCAGCGAGTGGGCGCGTGAAGGTTACGTTGTGCCCGAAATGCATCCATCGGCAAATGCACAGCCGCCTCAGGGAGACACCAATGCAGCAGCTCCTGTCGTGCCCAAGGAGCCGAAGAAGCCGCCAGTGCGTGCCGAACTACCATCCAATTGGGAGACCATGCACCCAGCCACATTGCTGTGCATTGTAAGTTCACTGAGATCAGCGTTCGTTGTCCAACTCGACTGACGAATGTTCCCTCTTGTTACCCTTTTTAGATGCGTCCTGGCATTGCTTATGTGGACTATGGCAACGCTGGCGACAAGCCCAACGTGCCCCAGTGTCTTGGCGTGATTGTTGACAACCAGGAGTTTACGGCCAATGGGCGCTCGAAGAAAATCGCACGTCGCAATGTGGCCGTCAATGTTTGCAACACATTGTTCGGTACCGATTTCAAATATGAAGAGTATTGAGCAACATCGCATCCATCAGACTAATCATTATGTATAGCAAGTTCACATATTATTCATTCAAATTGTATCCACTCTCATCAGATCCTACAAATCCTAACCACACGCTGCGACCATCAGTTTTTAGCTTTGCACAAGACACACCAGGACCACAGCATAATTGTTACTTGTTTTTTTTTAGTAATAATTTCTATAGCCAATATTGATCGTGAAATTTTGAATTTAATCTCTGTCTTCTTCGTGCAAAGTGCATTCATTTGTCGCATTTTACCTCATTTTACCTGGAGGATCAAACACATATTTGGTGTACACTTTCTGCTAGAATTTGAATGAATATATGTTGAGCTTATTGTATACCTATTATATGTTTAATAAAACAATAACCATATAAATATGTTAGAACAAGCTGCATTTATTTATCGGTGCATTTCAGATATGGCAAGAGAATGTTTTTAGTAATTTGTGAGTCGTTTCTGAGGACTCATAATTATAGAAACCATTAAGAATTCATGATTTAATGAATGCTGTGGTTGGCAGATCCTCGGAAGTTTGTCTTTTCAGAGATTCAAGCTAGTTTTCAATTAAATGAGCGCTATATATATATATATACTTATTTACGATTTGCAATCGAAACAGTCGATGGTTGGCAACTGTTCAAGCATCGATAGTGCTATCGATGTTTTTCCCAGCCCTATTTGGCAGCTGTGACAGCTGATTGTGCGTTTCAATTCATAATCACCGACGAACATAACAAAATGTCGAAATTACTCTCGTATACAGCAAGAATTACTCTGCGTAACTCACGCATCACCACAGTGTAAGTACTGGCGCATCCACCAACCATGGATTAAGTTTATGCAATCCTTTTTTGCAGCAGCCAGCAAGGGGTTCGAGCTTTTGCGGGCTTTGCGTCAGGGCAACGAACTACGCCGCAGCCGGCTTATGGTCGCCCAGCACAGGGACTTTTGCGCCAGGAGCTGCTGTCGCCGGTTGGTAAGCGAAGCATGTTCATCCAGACACAGGACACACCGAATCCAGACAGTCTCAAGTTTCTGCCCGGCGTCGAGGTGCTGGGCAAGGGCAACACCTATGATTTCCCCAGTGGAACGGCTGCCCACAACAGTCCATTAGGTGAGTTCCACTACTGACTGAACCTCGTCGCTCGCAACCCAAATAACCATACCAAAACTCTATACTTTGTCGTAGCCAAATTGCTGTTTCGCGTGGAGGGCGTGCGGGCGGTGTTCTTTGGCTCTGATTTCATCACCATCTCCAAGGAGGAGAACGCCGAATGGAGTCTGATAAAGCCCGAAGTGTTTGCCGTCATCATGGACTTCTTTGCCAGTGGTCTGCCCATAGTGCATGAGGCACGCCCCAATGCCGACACAGAGATACTCGAGGATGATGACGAGACGGTGATGATGATCAAGGAGCTGCTCGACACACGCATCCGTCCCACAGTGCAGGAGGATGGCGGCGACATTGTCTTCATGGGCTACGAGGGCGGCATTGTCAAATTGAAGATGCAAGGCTCCTGCTCATCCTGTCCCAGCTCCATTGTCACCCTCAAGAACGGCGTACAGAATATGCTGCAGTTTTACATACCCGAAGTGGAGTCCGTGGAGCAGGTCTTTGACGACGCTGACCGCATGGCCGACAAGGAGTTCGAGCGCTTCGAAAAGAATCTAAAACAAAAGGAGCCCGCTGGTGCGCCGGTGGGCATAGGCGGTAGCCCCAACTAGTCGTCGTTCTCGAGTTGCTCTTATCAATCCTTTCGTTGCTAATTCTGTAGTCAAATCCTAGCTATACATTTTATGTATACAAATTAAAATGTTAATTAGTTAAATGTACCCTGCAATGAGCATCAATTCTTTGAGGAGAGAGCCCTGGGCAAGGTCAATAATTTGTGCACTTCTTGTCCCAGTTTGTGGGTCCCCAAGTGGGTCAATAAACTCGTATTATTTGCCATTGATTCTACAAGAAACGGGCAGCAACCAGCGCCGCTGCCAGAGTAACGCAAGTTTAATCAATAATCAAAACAAAAAAACGTTGCCAAAGCCAAAGAGCAAACGCGTAGTCCAATTCCCGTGCGACTGCAGAGCGAACCAGACCACAGAGCGGACTTGCCAGAGCGCCAATCGATCCACCGACCGACCACCGATGCTCTGCTGGGCCAACGAGGATCATTTTCTGAGCCAACGCTATCCGAATCCACAGCAAAAGGCGCCCGAGACGCTCAAGAACTTGCTACTGCGTTCCAGTGTGCCCATTGTGAGTGACAGCGAGGTGGTAGAGAGCACCGAAATGGCACCGTTGAAGGGGCAGGAGGTCACCAAGTTCCACAAGCACTCATTTCTTGAAAATCGCATCTTTGATCATCGCCTGGTCAAGGATAATCTGCTGGACAAATGGCCCACTGCGGACATGAACGAGTATCACGAGCGCAAGGATCATCGCAATCTCATGGAGTCATATGTACCAATAACATAACTTAATCATACAAAACCATGCAAACAATTCCATCTAACACCCAGCACACGGTACCCTATCTCTATCCCTCTCTAGCGCTTGTGTTTTTGGAGCGTGGTGAATAAGTTAGTGGTCCTCGCCACCATGGTGAAATTAGTAGTACTTCCACCATGCTCGCCACCCTGTTAGTTATTTCACCATGATCCAGCACAGTTTTGCACCCTAGATTTGCTTTACAAAAGTTTCGAGCCATCAAGCAGGCTTCGGAATAATTTGCAGCTTTGGTTTCCAGGCTTTGTCAGTAGATTAAGTCAGTCCTGAAACAGGCCAGCACGAGCACACATCCAGAACGATTTTTTCAGTTTTTGTTTTCGTTTGAAAATTTTGACAAATTTGTAGTTTTTCCACACAAAACAAAATTCGCACACTCGAACACAACTCCGCGACTCGAGCAAGATGAGCCAACAGCAGCAGCACGACAACGGCAACGGCAACAGCTCCGGCGTGCCGCCAACCACGCTCATGTATTCCCAATTGCAGCCATGGAGCCATGCGGGTGCACCGCCCTGCATGGAGCCAGTCAACGGACCGACAGTGCCGCCACGTGTGGGCGCCGCTTTCCAGACATCACAGCGACACCCGTGGCGGCCGGCCATGGCCTATGAGCTGATCGAAGTGAAGCATTTGCCGGAGCAGCCGATGACCAATCAGCTGACGAAGCAATGCTTCCTGCCCAAGGGCATGAAGACCGATGGCATGAACTTTCCCAATTTGGTCACCGGCTTCGATCGCAATCCCCAGCATGCCGCACGGGCGGCACTCTACACGCGATACACCAACAATGAGTGGTACAACAACAACATGACCAAGTACTCGGAATCCAACATAAATCGGTGAGTAATTCAACGAAAGAGTTCACGCTCCAAAGAGTCTACTGTCCACTCCCTCAGCAATCTATCCGAGCGTATGCGCAATGATGCTGTACGCCTGATGCGCGAGGCTGACGAGAAGGCCACCGCGGGCCAGCGAGATGCAGGCCGTCGACTGGGCGAACGCATCACAGATCTGACCTTTTGGCGCAACGAGCTCAATGCCGAGCTGGAGAAGCTAATCGCCGAGATGGCGGACATCAACGAGCTGCAGCGGCAGTGCGGCAAGGCACTGTTGGATCTGGAGATACCGCTACACATCGCCCAGGAGTGCTTGTTCCATCGCGAGTCGCGCCAGGGCACCGAGAAGGTGCACGACATCGTCGAGAAGGCGCTGCTGGTGGAGATAAACAATCTGAGGCTGTCGCGTGATCGGCTGAGTGGACTGCATGAGAAGATCTCGAAGCAGGCACTCGATTGCCGCGGCGCCCAGCATCTGCTTGAGAGTGATGTGTCCCACAAGGAGTCGTCGCTGGGCATCGACTCGATGTGCCACCAGCTGAACAACTACAGTCGCGGCATCGCCTATTATGGCGGCATCGAGAAGTACGATCCCTCAGTCAGCACCCAAGAGTCGTGGGCTCAGGCCAGCAGCGAGCATGTCACACGGTAAGTGGGCAAAATCCTTGCACCGTTCGGGACATATCCTTATGGTGATGGAGATTCTTTCATTACAGTTCGCAGGCTGAGCGTGCCAAGCTATCGCAGTTGCGCAGTGATTCACAGAACGTGGTCAATGCTGTGGCCGCCACTGTGTGGGACTTTTGGAGCAACACAAACAATGCGTTCGACCGGCGGGCCCAGGAGATGGCCGAGGCCAAGAACCGCGTGCAGCTGCACTTGCAGAAGGTGCAGCAGGAGCTGTTCGACATGGAGAAGCATCTGTTTCTGCTCCAGAAGGCCATACAGGACAAGTCGATGCCACTCAAGGTGGCCCAGACACGCCTCGAGGCGCGCTGTCATCGCGAGGGCGTCGAGCTCTGCAAGTAAGATTTGACTTTAACGATTTGCCAGCTCTGATTTGGTTAACTCATTTGATTGAAATTCCTTTTAGGGATCATGCCCAGGATCGCTTGATCCAGGAGGTGTATGATATTCAGAGCGCTGTGGATTCGCTCCACCACAAGCTGCAGGAGTCGGAGGCCACACATCAGGGCCTGCTGAAGACCCGCTGCTCCCTGGAGGTGGACCTGCGCAACAAGGTCAATTCCTTGTTCATCGATCGGGAGAAGTGCATGAGTCTGCGTCGCTCCTTCCCAGTCAGCAACTTGATTCGCTATTAAAATCGTTGCAGTTATAATTTATACTCGCACACATACATATGTACATGTTCAGAAGCCGCGTAATAAATGTATTTACATCAGCAGATAACTATCGATAGCCACTCGGCTTGACTACTTTGAAAACAAATAGTGAATTTATTCCATCCAGTGGGTGTAATTAGTGCTAATTGTAGTAGAATTCACTTTAATTTGCAACATTCTGAGTAAAGTTAACATTTATTTGCAATAAAATGAATATTTATAATTACATTGCAAGCAGTCTTGAGCGATACTTGTACGATATCTTCACTTGGCCATCTCTATGTACGTGTAGCACCACTGCCTGCCGTTTTTAGTGCACTTTTTATAAAATAATAATTAATACGGCCCAACGCGTCTGTTTGTGCCAAAAAGGTGCTGAGTTTATATCTAAAATTAATATATAAATCTTAATTTGAAAGTAGGTAAGACAAGTTCATCATTGTTGCAGTAACAGCAGAGTAAAATGCAACAACAACCGGCAACCATTTTTTAATTGCCATATTCACGCACTTTTCCATTTTGGAGCCAGTAGAGGCGATTGTCTCGCCAGAGAACAGCTAGCTGAGCAGCTTGGTGACACACGATTGATACCCAGTGATTGCGCGGGTAGTGCAGGTGCATCGTAAGGTGCAATTGCACCTCAAACGCTGTCTAATTATTTCGGGTCTTGACATCTGACGTGTACTTTTAGATAACTGTAAAAACGTAGAAAGTCATTGAACCAGCTGATAGTGGCTGAAAAGCAGATTTAAATATTTATAATACATGTCATAATCGAAGAATATTTCTTAAATTTTTCATAATGGAATCCGAAAGCAACTTAAACAGCGAACAGGAAAGGGAGAAGAGCCCGCAGCAGGGCACACGAATATATACCAAATGGGCTACGGTCTGTGTATTGTGGCCATTGCATGCGCCTTGGCCGCCTATTCCTCTGGCGTCGATCCAAATAATTTCAAGACATGCGAGCAAAGCAGCTTCTGTCGGTCAGTATCAAGATCACATTGGCTGATCGTGGCCTTCGATCTTCATTTCCCTCATTTGCTGATTCATTTATTTTCGTTGCAGCCGCTCGCGGAAGGTGCAGAGCTCGGGCAGCAAGTACGCCCTCATACCCGGCACCCTCAACAGCTACACGGACTCGCTGACGGGTGATCTGGTCAACAAGGAGAACCACCATCAGTTCTCCTTCAAGCTGGAAGCCCTCGCGGGCAGTACGTTCCGCCTGCGCATCGACGAGAAGCAACCACTGCGACCCCGCTACAAGGTGGAGCATGCCCTCAAGGGACAGCCAGAGGCCGGGCGCATACGCCTGCACACAGAGACCGATGGCGAGATTATTATTACCTCCGAGCGCACCAAGGCCGTCATCCACGGGGATCCCTTTCACATTGATTTCTACGAGCACGATGTTTTGGTTGTGTCCGTGAACTCCAAGAACTGGCTGTACTTTGAGCATTTGCGCCCGAAGCCCAATGAACCGACCGAGCAGCGGGAGGGCGAACAGGAGGATCAGGACGGTGCCGTCGAGACACCAAAACTAACCGACTCCATTGACGATCCCGGCGCGTGGGAGGAGAACTTCAAATCGCATCACGACTCCAAGCCCTACGGCCCAGAGGCAGTGGCCCTAGACTTCTCCTTCCCAGCTGCTGAGATTCTCTTCGGCATACCCGAGCATGCAGACAGCTTTGTGCTGAAATCAACCTCTGGCACGGATCCCTATCGCCTCTACAATCTGGATGTGTTCGAGTACATTGTGGACAGCAAGATGGCACTGTACGGCTCAGTGCCAGTGATCTACGGCCATGGGTATGCACTCGGCTGAATGCCCAATAATCTGTGACTGCTTCCATAATGATTTGTCTTTTGTAGAGCACAGCGCACAGCTGGCGTTTATTGGCAGAATGCGGCAGAGACCTGGGTGGACATACAGACGTCAGAGACAAATGTTGTCTCATCGTTGGTGAACTTTGTTTCCGGCTCGAGGAAGACACCGCCCCCGGGTGCACACTTCATATCCGAATCGGGCATTGTCGATGCATTCATCATGCTGGGACCCAAGCCCATTGATACCTTCAAGCAGTACGCGGCCCTCACCGGCACCCACGAGCTGCCGCAGCTCTTCTCGCTGGCCTACCACCAGAG